TAATAAGGCAAAATTGCATATTAATACACCACCTTTCATGTTTTTGCAATTTAATCACTACCTTTGAAATTTCTCAAATCAACGAAACCGTCATTCATGTATCGATTTGCAAAAATGGTAAAGGTGGTGCATCAATTTTCAAAATTTCAAAAGTGGTGATTAAATTGCAAAAACATGAAAGGTGGCGCATTAACATGCAATTTTATGCCTAATAATAATAATAATCACATTACTAACCCTTTTCCACAGATGCTCGATCGTACACCCGGGGCAGTCGACCCCCTCGCAACGACCTCTTTGGCGGCAAACTCCCGAAGAACCCCAAAGAGTTCCACGAGAAGTGGGCCCGCCAGATGGAAGACGACGAGGACCACCTCTGGACCGCCAGCGAGGACGACGAAAACGACCCCAACTCCAACCCCAACATCCAACTCAAGAAAGACATCAAAAAGGCCAAGCAACGGGCCCGTGCCCGTTCCGACCCCGGAGTCGACGCCGACGACAGCGACGAGCTCCGCAGCATCTGGTCCTCCGACGCCGACAGCGACGACGAGAAATCCCTATGGACCGGCGACGAGGGCGACGACGAGGCCGACGTCCCTACCGATCCCATCCCCAACGAGCGCAGCGACGAGTACATCGACCGGCTTTTCGAGTTCGACGAGAAGCCCAAGCACCGGACGCTGGCCCAGGCGATGAGAGACGAAGATAATACGGAGGAGGAGGAGATGTCTCCAGGTAAGCGCGCGCGCAAGCTGGCGGTGCAGAGTGCGCTGAGGAAGCTGAGAAAGGGGCCGGACGGGCGGTATGTGAATGTGTGGGAGGTGATGAGCGATTTGGATGTTTTGATTGGGGCGTTTGAGAATATCGTGTCAGGGCCGGAGTACGAGGAGTTGAGGAAGGGTGGGCCGAAGAAGCTGAACATGGAGTTTTTTAAGGAAGTGCAGGCAAAGATGAGGGATCCGAATTACGAGTTTTCGCCGGAGTTGAAACTGAGGCCTAAGGGCAAGGTGGTACTGAGGAGGAAGTGGGAGAAGGCGCAGTCAAGGAGGCGTAAGGCGCAGAGGAGGTAGAATATTTCTTTTTTTTTGTTTTTTCATGGCTTTGTTAGTGTGTGTGTGTTTGTGTGATGGTATGGACTACCCAAGTCTTGGAGTGTGTCTTGAAGTGTCTCATCTGTGTGTTTGATTATTGCTGGAACATGCTATCTGTTTGATTTGATGTCTTCATCAGTAACTGTTGTTGCTATGGTGTAGATATTGAGATATTAACTACAAGATAAATAACATATTTAACTAATAGAAATGAATATTTCTTATCCACCAAGTCAGAATTTAAGGTTCGTCGAAAGAGATTACATGTATTGTATTTATTCTTGACATTATTTCTAATTTGTCTTTGTTGTAAGATTTAATTCTTGACCATTTTGAATTACCAAAATATATTCATGCTAAACATGATATTTAATTTAATGAATGTAATTCAAATTAAGAATAGAAGGTTATAATGTGTATAAATTAATATTCTTAGAGAAAATATATTCAAAATAGGTAAAAGTAATTATCCATACTTTGAGAGTATTTATATGTATATAGTTTGAAAATAGTATAAAGTAAAAAATAATTAAAAATAAAAATATATCCTAAAACGACATTATTTTATGAATGGAGACTGTAACAACCATTTTAATTTTTAATCTAAGTATTTGACGATGGTCTGGATTGGCTATTGTTATTTTCTTTTACAGGCTTAATAAAATCTATAGAAAATAATATTATATGATAGTTATTGCATAGCTAAAATTTTTTTTATTTATCGTTTTTGGAATAGAGAAGTATCGATTCAGTTTAAAATTTAAATCTATGTTTTAAAGATCATTTTGTGATTGACAAATATTTAATTCTTCAAAAGTAGTAATTTTTATTCTTTTTTTTATTTAGTTTGGTGTAAAAAGTAATTCTCACTTTTACTTAGACATATGTTTTAAGAATTTTATTTATTCAAAAGAATATATATAATTTCTAAAATTTCATATATTTGGTAAAAAAATTATTATTAATTTAAAAATTTCTACTTATTCATTTATTTAAAAATGATTAATAAAATAGTTATGATGTTATTTTATATTTAAATTATTTATAAGAAAACAATATTAAATAATAGACCAATTATATACGATTTAAAAAAATTAATTATAATATCAAAATAAATAATTTTTAACCAAAAGATGTGATTGTGTGTGAAGCTAATAAAGATTGTGTATTAATGTAAAAATGAGTTAACAAAATTACTATAGATACTCTAACATGTGTTTCTAAGATATTCTAAAAGGACCTCGAACTGGCTTGGTTCGACCTTGGTTACCTTGCTCGCTGGTTGATGATCTACGGTACCTGCACAAACTCAACACCGGATGGTTTCCCGGCGTAGAGCCTCCGACGTTCAAGTCAGAACGTGAAGAAGATGATGAACAATAGTAGAGAACTGTAAATAGGTGTAGAGTGAGTGTAGAGAATGTAATGTAGTTATGGGCATACCTCACTCCCTTGTATAGGGATGTGTTACTTTGTTGCTCAAGGCTCCCTGAATGTGCTACCCGAACTCCCCAATTCTATTAGGCCACATGGTTTTATCCACGTGTGGATCTTATCTTAATAGTGTTCATTCTTATCCCTTAGTCTTCCTTATTAGGCGATCTAATCATGATATCAATATAGATTACTTCGAGGTAGGGTGTTGTAGATACTGAGCTCATATGCACTGCTTGCCTGGTCGATCCTACGATCAGTCAAGTCTTCAGGTCAATCTTCCACCAGTCCGTCCAAGGGCTCTAATTCGACCTATTGGTGCTCCTTGGATCTGCTACATCCTCCTCGACCTGAAGCCAATCTTTTGCTCGATTTGTCAGATCACCAGGTCCAATCCTGCTATTTTCTCGGGTCTAGTCTACCCAGTATGGTATCTCATATCATATGATATTTAAATACAACTTGAATATAATATATATATATATATATATATATATAGGGAATGGTTCAAATAAAAACTAGTCCTAGTATGAGAACCGTGAGAACCGTATTTGATGCTATTTTTTATCGTGTATGATGCTATTTTTAATATCACATGGTGCTATCATTTTCACAAATGCTAATATAAATTGTGTTGTTATTTTTAAGAAAATAGATCGATGTTAAAAATAGCACTAAAACACAATAAATCATAGACTATGTACAACTATACATAGTGGTTCTCACGCTAGGACTTGGTTTTCATTTGAACCACATCCTATATATATATATTTACTAACAAATGTTAGACGAAAATTTGAACAAATCATTAATTAAATATTGATCCGATATATTTGTAAACTGTACGTATATTCATATTTTTCTCCATTAAGATATACATTAAGTTGTAATTTTAGTTACTGAGATTTGTTGGTAACTAATTGAAATGACTGAGTGAAAGGATTTTTTAATGATTCACACGAATTATTTTGAGGAAATCATGGAAATAATTGAGCAGATTTTTTGGTAGGCAGATTTAAAAAAGATACGCTTACAATTTAAAAAAATAATTGGCTTTGTAAAAAGGATTTTTTTTTTTTCCATTAAGATATACCTTATTGTGTAAATATTGTTATTGAGATTTGTTGGCAACAAATTTAATGAATTAAAACGAATATATTATGACAATTTTTCTATGGAACCATCCACACTTATTCACAAATAGTGTATTGACATGTGTCATACAATAAATACACTTTACACATGTGTCAATACATTAAGTGATGAATGATTCTATTAGAAAATCATCCGATGGTACCATAGAATTTCTGTATATCATGCATTCACACACGGCTTGGAGCCATCGGATGATTTTCTTATGGAGTCATCTATCACCACCTAATATATGAATTTTTGTATATCATGCATTCACACACGGTTTGGAGCCATCGGATGATTTTCTTATGGAGTCATCTATCACTTAATATTTTGACACTTATCTGTGTATTTATTGTAGGACATGTGTCAATACATAAAGTGATGGATGACTCCATGAGAAAACCATGGCACCATAAAATTCTTGTATATCATAGATTCACACACGATTTATTTGAGGAAATCAATAAAATAATTCAGCATATTTTTTGATTGACGGATTTTAAAGATTTACATGTACAATTTAAGGAAATCATTGCCTATATTTTTAAGAGTTAAGGTTTACATAATGTCATTCTCAAATAAATATTTTTTTTTAATTTGAATTTTCATTCCACCCACATTTAGAAAGAAAATACTAAGAATAATAAATTTAAAAATTTTAAACGAGAATTTTACTAATATTTCAAGTAAACTCCCATCTCTATTATATAGTAATAGATGCCAACTTTTCATCTACCTTCTTATCCCCTCTATATATAATTTCAGAATGCGCTGAGTCTACGTGGCAAATTCTCATGCTTTGGAATCCTATTTGGCAAAAAATCATGCTTTGGAGTTAGACTTGTATATAAATTAATATTTGTATTAATTGTATTTTAATATCATTTCCTATTATAACCATTGAATTGCAAATATAATTTAAAAATTGATAACTTTTGTATTTCTTATCGATTTTACATATATAATATATCAAATTAATCATCTTTTGATGAGCTTCGATTTGACATCTATATTGTATATATAAAATAAATAAATTATATTTATCTTTATAATAATAATAAAATTATCTATTAAAATTAATTAGAAAATAAATTTATTTGTCAATTAATATTTTGTTTGATATTAAATAAACATATTCTACACTTATGCATATACATATCACCATAATATTTCTATTTACTTAAGATATATATTTTTGTACTTATGTAATAGTAAATAATATCGATATTATTATGATATAAGTAAAAAAATTCAACACGGGTTGACATTTTCATATACATATTGTATATATAAAATAAATAAATTATATTTATCTTTATAATAATAATAAAATTATTTATTACAATTAATTATTAAATAAACATATTATACACTTATGCATATACATATCACCATAATATTTCTATTTACTTAAGATATATATTTTTTTGCTTATGTAATAGTAAATAATATCGATATTATTATATGATATAAGTAAACAAATTCAACACGGGTTGACATTTTTATTTAATGTACAGGTGTTTACTTATTATGATTAAAAAAATATAATTTGACAATTTAATTAAAACCCAAAGTAGTGTTTTATATAAAATTAAATTATTTTAATTTTTAAAAAAATAAAAAAAGTAATATTTTTTACAAAAACTTTCTAATTCAACACTCGTGTAATACACGGGTATTGCATTAGTCTTATATAATAAGGAAACTGGAGACTCGTTATAGGTGCGACACGTGGCTTAGCCCTTGAGCTCCTTTTGAGTTCCTTTTTTGACGATTTTGATTTTGTTTTCAGCCTTCAATCCCAGATTAATAAAACAAATTATGGGGCACAGAACATAAATTTATTCCTCATTTAAACCCTAACCAGCACGACACTCTCTCATCTCCCGCCGCTAGGCAACAATCGAAGGAAAACAATGGAGGCAATCATATCGGACCTTTGTCTTCTTCTCCCTTCTTAAATTCACTATGATCGCCTGTGCCTCTGTAAAGGCTTCGACACCATGACACCATATCGCCTCACCTCCGACAGAAAGGCTCCTCGCCAGGACGCCCCGTCTCGCCTCGCCTCCGACACAAAACCTCTGTGACTCGCCTCGACTCCCCGCCTTTGGGACACAACCTCCGTCTAGACGCCCCGTCTCCGACTCCACTTTCAGATTTTAAAGGTAATTATTATATTTTTTTTAAAAATTAAAATTGGTTGATGTAAAATATGTGCAGGGTTTTCTTTTCAACTTCATAAATTTCTTAAAATTGAAATATATTTTATTTATTAATACTCTGTACCTTTGTTCCCAAAAGGTAGTGTAATTGACAAAAAAATTGCATTGCACTGAAATTTGCATAAACACTGAATAAAGTAAAATTGAGGAAAATTGAACTGTAGGTGGTATATGGTGGACTTGGTGTGTTGATGTAAATAGAAAGGGGTTTTTTTTTTTAATGTAAATTACTTTGTTAATTAAATTACACATTGCAGAACAATTGATCTTCTCGATCTGGGTTTGCATTACATTAGAACAATTGATCTTCTCGATTTGGGTTTGCATTGCATTTAGGCAAGTTGTAAGTGACACCTAGCCAACTTTTGTCCAGTAGAGATTGCTTTTTAAGGAAACTTCTTCCACAAAATTATTACATTCTCTGTTATATAGAAATAGATGCCAACTTTTCATTTAGTAATATACTACACTACAATATGAAACGCCGGAAAGATTGGTCTCCACTTTCTTGCTTTATCCATTGCTTGTTTACAAAATTGATCCTGAAAATTCTTTTAATTAATTTATTTGATAAACTACTCCGTGGATAGTAGTAGCTTTTTACCGAACATACTAGACCAATTTGTCTACCTAGTATGTTATTATATTCTTATGGGGCTGGGCATGGTAATACTAAATAATTATTATTACCGCTGTATTTTTGTACCTAAGCAAACAAACAAAGAAGAGGATTAGCAAATTTTGATGAGCTCCTACTTTTGTCATCATCGCTTACTATTATTATTATTAATAATATTACTATTATTAGTATTAGAGAATAGGTAGTGAGCTACAAATGCTACATTAGGACAAGGAGAGATAATGCATTTGGGAACAAACCAAGATTTGAGGGGAAATGTAGCTAACTAAATCTAGCAAAGTAGACTGTGCTAAACCAGTGCAGATTTTATAGTTAAATTTGAAAATTGGTCTAAAGTAGTTATGGACCAAATTTTAGTGGAGTATATATTTACTAACAAATGTTAGACGAAAATTTGAACAAATCATTAATTAAATATTGATCCAATATACTCATTCTTGCCTCTCACAGGCTCGCAAAGGGTTAAGAATTTGGAGAGAGAAAAAGCTTCTGCTCACGAAAATCTCACGAGCTTCCTCTCCTCTTCTCAAACTCCCTACTCCACTAAAATCACCGCGCAGTGGTAGCCAGAAACCCCAGCTATCGCCGAACTTTGGGTGCTGGTGGTGAACGCTCCTACGGAGAACACAAGCACATCTTAGAATATTTAACCTTTTTAATGTAAACACAACTCGCGAGCTACGCGCGTGCTGAACAGCAGGAGCATAACTAAAACTGGATCTAGCTCCCAATCCCTCCGCATATAGCAAACGCAGATTTTGTGCGTCTCTTTTACGTTTTACCTGTCGCAAGAGCTCTCAAAAATGGCGCCGCCTCCTGGACCGTACTCCGGCAAGAGCTCCCTTGCTCTGGTAACCTTGATTTCCATAGCTCCGATCATATTTTCTTATGCATATGCGTGAATTTAATCTGTGATTGAATTCATTTTATATAAACAGTCTGATTTTTCCATAAATGGCAGGTGGCTAGGGTTTCGGCTTTTACCTTCGGAATCGCATACGGCAGTGTAAAGCTTAAGATTCTTAAGGTATCCACTTTTTGTTTTCTTCTTTACAAGGTTTTATACTTTGATTTGCCTGGTTTTGCGTGAGAGATTTTTTTAGTGGATTTGATAAGTAGATTGTTGAATTTTTACTGGTCTAGGTTTGAGGTTTTGAGTGGATATCACGAACATAAAGATCTGGAATTTACGTATGGATGATAGATATGATTGATCAATCTAATTGAAAAGTTAGCTGGTAGCTAATGAGTTAACTGATAACTCATAAGTTATTATGGATCTGATAGTTTGATAGTTTGTGGCTGATGATTGAAAAGAGAGCCAATATAATAGGCATGTGGTAAAATTAATTGATAAGTCAACTCAACTGCAACAAAAATTTCAATAAGCTTATTTGAAACGCAATGTAGAGAAGAATTTGAGAGAAATTAAAGTTGTTCTTTTTTTTTAAATAAAACCTATCTTACCAAACCAAACTAATTTGAATACAATAAGCTTATAAGTAAAACAAATAAGCTATAAGATAGTTTATTGTGCTTACCAAACTCACTCATATAATTTGTTTGTATAGAAAGCGTGGTTGTAACTTGTAAGCTATGAGCTCATGCTCCCTTGAAGTAGCTAAATATTTGCTTCGAGTTAGAATTGATGAAGATGGAGTTAGAATTGATGAAGATGGACTGAAAAATTAAAATGCTTAATTGTATTGGGTATCTGACAAGGAAACTGTGGTTGTTTTTTATTCGGGGTTTTCTGCAGTTGTGTAAATTGAATTACTAGGATGAACATGGTTTGGCATGTGTTGTTTATGTTATCACTTGTTTTCTGATAGCACATGAATCAAATCATGGGATCATATTTTTATATGTATATGGATATGACTAATCCTGGCATTCGGTTGTGTAGTCACTCGAGATGGATTGAAGTTGTCTTGTTGTTTAGAAGCTTTTAAAATGAATATGGCCAAGCATATGAGAAATAATCCTCAATCTGAACAAGGCACTGTTGATTTGGCTTAACTTTCGGTCGTTTAGTTTCGACCTGCATATTCTTTTATATCGGATATTTTTAAGGCGAAATTCTCAAAATGGACCTGAATGTAGCTCAAGCATATGATAAGCGGGCCCCCTCTGGATTTGTGCGTAATGTTACGCAGGCAGTCTTGATGCCAAATTCAGATGGGGAAAGAATGACTTATTTGTTCAGTGATGATAACACAAATGCCTGTTTTATTATGTGAAAACAGTAATATATGCAATGCATATGGACTTGAAACATCTTTTGTTTTGTTGCCTTGATTTGATTTCTTTTATTCGTTTCCTTTTTTTTTGTTTTTTGTTTTTCCCTCTGTGTGTTTCTTTTGCAATGATAAACTTTCTTGCTATATTACTATTTTCACATAATAGAACAGGCATTTGTGTTATCATCACTGAACAAATAAGTCATTCTTTCCTCATCTGAATTTGGCATCAAGACTGCATATGGACTTGAAACATCTTTTGTTTTGTTGCCTTGATTTGATTTCTTTTATTCGTTTCCTTTTTTTTTGTTTTTTGTTTTTCCCTCTGTGTGTTTCTTTTGCAATGATAAACTTTCTTGCTATATTACTATTTTCACATAATAGAACAGGCATTTGTGTTATCATCACTGAACAAATAAGTCATTCTTTCCTCATCTGAATTTGGCATCAAGACTGCATATGGACTTGAAACATCTTTTGTTTTGTTGCCTTGATTTGATTTCTTTTATTCGTTTCCTTTTTTTTTTTTTTTTTTTTTTTTTTTTTTCCCTCTGTGTGTTTCTTTTGCAATGATAAACTTTCTGCAGTTTTGTGGTATGTTAATTGTATAAGTACTAATAAGGTTTGGTTATATTCCTTGGTGAAGTGATTTATTTCAATATAGTTCTTTGCTCGATTTTGAATTAAAGATTGGCGAGATGCATGATTAATCCACTAAAGGTGAAAGCATTTGTAGGGACAAAAGTGAAATGAATATCTTTCTTTTATCATTAATCAAATTCCCAACTTTTCAAGAGCCAAAATTAATTGTGTCTCCTGGATAGTTTCTTACTTGTTTCAGCTAATTCATTGAGATTATATTCGATTCAATTCATATTCTGTACAGTGAATTGGTTTTTTTAATTTTTCCCTCCGAAAATTAGCTATACTCAAAAAATAAAACATATAAAATTACTGAATTACTAAAAAAGTTGAACGAGTAGTCGAGTTTGGTCATACAAAATAAATAAATTAATAGGCCAGCAATTTGTACTTGTAGTCTATGTGTATCTTGTCGTCCTTAGTTTAAGGGTCCTTTGTCTCTCATAACTATCATCATCTCCTTTATGAAAAACTTTTGTATTTTATAGTTTAATCTTTGGTTTGATAGTGTAATCCGAATTCCCATTCATTAGGCTCATTTTGTAATGTGAGGTTTCTTCATATTAATGAAGTTGTTATAGTTGGAGAAAAAAATCCAGTCTTTTTTCTTGAACAAAGAATTAATTTGTATTATATACCTCACATACTGACGCTCCTTTTAGTAGCAGGACAACTTAAAAGGGCGTTTTCGATTTGTTTAATTATTATGTGGATTTTGAAAAGCCTCGGAAATTTGGTCCATAACTACTTGAGACCAATTTTCAAATTTAACTATAAAATCTGCACTGGTTTAGCACAGTCTACTTTGCTAGATTTAGTTAACATACCACAAAACTGCAGAAAGTTTATCATTGCAAAAGAAACACACAGAGGGAAAAAAAAAACCAAAAAAAAAAGGAAACGAATAAAAGAAATCAAATCAAGGCAACAAAACAAAAGATGTTTCAAGTCCATATGCATTGCATATATTACTGTTTTCACAAACACATAATAGAACAGGCATTTGTGTTATCATCACTGAACAAATAAGTCATTCTTTCCTCATCTGAATTTGGCATCAAGACTGCCTGCGTAACATTACGCACAAATCCAGAGGGGGCCCGCTTATCATATGCTTGAGCTACATAAGGGTGTTGTACGAGGTTGTAAGGAATATAGGGCCACAGTTCGGCCCGTTTTCCTGTTCTCTTCACTCTCTTTAGAACCTTCTTCGCCTCCACGAAACCGCTCACCGTTAGACGGTGTTGCTTTCGGTTCACATCCACACTTCTTACTCCTGTACAAATTTCAAAAATAAAAAATAAATAAATAAAAAATAAAATGAACATGCATCCGAATTAATGTTGAGACAAAAGTTGAATAGACAATAGAAATAAATAAATGAATGAATGAAATGCATGGATTTGATTGTAAATAAATAAAAAAAAAGTAGATTCATTATTGTTGATTGAGAGCAATAATTATGAGAACCTTTCATGTTTTTAACCGCATTCTTGACTCTTCTCTCACATCCATCACAGTCCATTTTCACTTTGATCTCAACCGTCTGCGTAACAAATTATTAAGGAAAATTACATAAACTAAGAAAAAAAAAAGTCTCATACATTAAATATTATATTATGATTGGTAAATAGAAAATTAAATAAATGTTTAACAACTCAACATGCAACTAAAGATAATGAAATACCTGCATTGGTTTCCTTTTGGTCCTTGTGCTTATGGCAATGCAAAAGTTTGAGAGAGAATCAAGACCGCCCATTTTTTTTTTCCTTCTTAATTTCTTGATGTTAATTGAGAAAACAGATAATGACTAATGGGTCTTAGTATTTAACTATTTATAAGTTGAAGAAGGCGGTGGGACTTTGTGTGAGTGAGAACTAGCTGTGTGCTTGTGTTAATCAAATTGGGATATTTGATTTGAATATTTGAAATATAATAAATGTATAACAATAATGTTCATAAAATATGGTAATGTATGTGGATACTGGGTAGAAATTCATGATGAGTGGGGCAACAAAGGTTTCGGATTTGATTATTTATATGATTTGTTTATATTGTTGAGTTAATTATCATGGAGATATTGCAAAAGTGCTCTAGTGTGTTTGAATTTGCTTTCATTTTGGTTCACTGGATATGGCGCTTGCTTTTCCATAACAAATTATTTGTTTATTCGGAGAATGCCACAATTATTGCTTCTTTGTATTGAATATTATTGAACTATTTGAATTCCTAATCCTAGTTAATTTATATATATTTTGGATTTTGTTTTATCTTCTATTTGAAACTTGAAATGGACTTCATTTAACCAGAAACATGCATTAAATCATGGCATTATATAGTTTGTTGTTTTGTATTCTTCTCTAATTAGTACTCCATCCTATATACATGCAGAGGCAACAAAAATACAACAAGATGTATGTATAACTAGATATTATAATTAAAACTATAAGTTAAATAATAAGTATATCACAATTTATAAATATAATCATTAGTAGAACAAACATTATAGTTATAAATAATTTTACTTATATATGAATCACTACTAATAGTTAAACGGACTTGAAGCACTACTAATAGTTAAACGGACTTGACTCGGCCTTCGCTCGAATTAGTACACTTGGAAGTATCTTCTTTTACCTCGGGCGGTCACCGAACCTACAAGAACTCAACATCGAAAGGGGGATTTTCCGACGAAGAGCCTCTGATGCCTAAGTCAATGAAAGGATGGTGACGATGAATAGCAATTTTGTATATAAAGTGTGAGTAGAGAATATAAACAGTAAACTAACCTACCACACCCATTTATAGCGATTTGGTGTCTTGCTCCCCAAGTCTGCTCAGAGGGCTTACCCTGTTGCCCAAGTTGCCCGTTCGTACGACCTGCAGTGTCTTAGACTGTCAAGCTTGTCAAATGTGCAGACGACCCAATCTTGTTGCGACACGTGGTCCAATCCTCCTATGGCGTAGTTCTCTAATTAGATGTCTTTTTGTCTTGCCGTGAGATCAGGTCCACGTCATCAGGTAGAACATCTTCTTCCACAGCTCCTCTATTGCTCATGAGCTCGACCCGACCTCTTGGTCCCTCAGGTTGAGCTCGACCCGACCTCTTGGTCCCTCAGGTTGAGCTCGATGTGAGCTCGTCTTGTGGTTGATGCCCCCTTCGGAAGGTTATCGCCGTGCTGGTTATTGTCTTTAGGTCGATACTTGGTCGCGGCTCGAGCTGCCTTGTTAATCCGATCTAGTTGTTTGGTTACATTGGTTCAGTTGACCCAGTATTTTATCTCATATCAACTACATAGATTGCGTAAACTTAATGAATAATATTTCTTTTTACAAATTTAAGGGGTTTGATCAATTAATTAGTTAAAATATATTAAAATTCTATTATTATTATAGCAACTATTTACAAAATTTTAAAGGATTGGTTTTGTCATTAAAATTAAATAGGTACTTAAAAAATTGTGTAATGTGAGAAATAAAAAAGATAATATTAATTATAAAATAAATATCTTGAAGAAAAATTTTTGCTATGATTTTTTTTATAAGTGTGTAACTTTCATAAACCTTTTAATGTAACATTATAATTAGCTAATATTAGTAGTGATTCTTATATGATAAAGTAGTTGAAAAATTATTGATACAATTAATTAATGCAAAATGTAATTTTGGTTTCCATAGTTTGATGTGTTGATCAACCAAAAATATGATTTTAGTGTGGTTAATAAAGTAACTAAGCTTTTAAAATCGAATATATTCACTTAAATATGAGCGGAAGTGAGTGGAAACGAGGTCGAATTCTCGTCTTTAATGATGTATTTAATGGGCGAATCAATGTCTTTTACAGAAAGAATTTTTCTGTCCCAATTTCAAATGGATTCCTAGGACTATTTAATAGCACGATATGCCCGATTACTGTTCATCGGGTTACATCAATTTAATGTCGAATGACAGGCATTTAATGCGGGCATGTTACCAGAGGAACCTAGAGATCATAGGTCTGTAGAGATGACGTGCGCGTCCCATCGGTCATCAAGTGGGATTATCATAATATTTCTCCTTCAGTGCGCCTTCAGATACCGACCACAGCACCCTTCTGCTTCCTGAAATCCTTCTTCATAAAGAGTCGAAGCTGGTACTTAGCGTGACAGCAGCGCATCGCGGTCCTATTCTCCGGAGAGGGATCTAGATCGTAAGCACGCTCGACATCAGCATATGCATTCTGAGTTGCAGAGAGGTGCTGAGAGAGGTCTCCAAAAACATCCCAATTCCACTATTTCAGTCTGTGCCGCAGTCTCCCGAGCTTGGCCTCCAGGTTACGCATCTCGAAGATCCCAGTCGGCTGCAGTCAGGAGACCCCGACAGTGTCATGGAAAGTGTGGTGTCGAATCCACATGATTTGGATTCTAAAAGAGGAGCGACGGGGTTCTGCGAAAAAGGACACCTGATGAGGAGAGGAGCATGGTCCGACTCAATTCGAGGATGGTGTTTGACGACCGTAACCGCAAAAACCCTCACCCAAGCATCGGAGAACAAAGCACGACCGAGCCTCTCCTTGACACCATCACGCTCCCAAGTGAAGGGAGAGCTTAGAAACCAGCGTCAATTAACTCACATTCCGCCGCTGCTTGAGAGAAATCCCCGATCTCCATAGAGTGGTCAAAACGGCCACCAATGCATTCATCGGTATGCAAAATCACCGCATACCATCCACGGTAATCCTCCATAGTTTCAACAATCTCATGCATGGTGACCCAAAGACAGTAACACCCGACCCTTGCATAACTGAGGTAAACCAAGTGTGGAAGATGGGCGGCAGAAAGCTTGACGTGCAGCACCTGTACGGTGTCATGGATGACCCAACAAAGGGGCCTAGCTGATACGTCTCATCATCCAAGAGGTCATCGTCGTCAGGGGGG